CAGAATTCCCCAGCCAGCATTCGCTGGCTGGGGAATTCTGGGAGTTGAAGTCCGGACATCTTCAAGTTGCCAAGGTTGGGAAACACTGCTCTAGACAAAATTAAATATTAACAAAAGCTTAAAGATAGGTTACTGTAGTTTATAAATAGTGGGTTGATAAATGAAGGAGAAAATATATGTGTTACAGTTGGGCAGCTTTATGACTCTATTACTGGAAAAGCTGAAAGTTTTGAACAATACTGGAGGCACTGTTTTATTCTTTTTGCTTTGTTATGAAGTTCTAGTTTGTAGAACCCTCTCCAGCACAGATATTGAATATTTATTGCTCAGAGTGATAGAGAACTCATTTCAGATGGCGTTTAAAAAAGTACAGAGGAACTCTGCACTGTACCGTGTCCCTCACCCTCCAGTTTTTCAGTGTTGATGGAATTTATAGAGATGGCAATCAAATGAATTCAATTACAGCTTTCCATGGGAATTTATTTATGAGATGGAAAATGGAATGTGGCTCATTCAAATTTAGCTACATTTTGTTTTCAGATTTTCCGGTCAATCCATGGAAGTCGGGGTGAAGGACAGCAGCATGCATTTCTGTTCTCCTCGCTCATTTTTTTCTGATTGCCTAAGAATATCTATTGTCAACTCAGTTTGGGGAAATATTATACAAACAGTGTCATTTGACACTTGTTCTGTTTGTTTTCTTTATAGGCAAGGAGACAGTCTTTCATCCATTGAATATGCAGTGAAATACAATCCAATGTATGAAAGTGATACCACTGGATACAGCCACTATTATCGGAGATGTCCACAGCTAACTTCATATAGCTCCACAAGCAATGAGACATCCACTGAATATAGCAGTGAGGAGATCAAACATATTTATGACAAAGAATTAAGTAAGGAGGTATGTAACTACTTATCAACTTGTTTCATTTTTCACTTTGTGCATCCAAAGGATTTAATGATTCTAACTGAATACACATTTTCAGGTCAAAATGTGGGATTCAAATTTGATGAAACAATTTTAAAAGGACATCACATAGCATTTTATATTTTGTGATTTTATATTGAAATAGATACAATAGAACCATGAGACTTTATTTAGGATTATTGTACAGTTGCTATGATTTTTCCCTACTTTTACAGGAGATTCAGGACAGAATAAGGATTATAGAACTTTATGCCAAGGATCATCAGTTTGCAGACTTTGTAAAACGACATCAAATGTGACTTAGGTATTTCCCCACTCCATAATTTCTTTATTTGAACCTGCTTATTATACAGTATGATTGACTCAGAAGAAAGCATGTAAAAATGTAATTTTATTTCTTTACATAGCGAAATAAGTATCATTCTACTTGAAGTTTGTTGGCTACTTTATTAACAGCTGAAACATCATATTATATTGTACATATTCTCTGTTGGTCTACTGTGTGGGTGTCAAACTTGCGGTATCATGTTACCATCACCTGATGTTTCCTGACATTTTTCCCATTCACGGAGCTGGGGTGGGCATGGCTTGCATGTGATGCATACGGCCCATGGGCCACCAGTTTGACACCTCTGGTCTACTACATGTACTGATGTTGAATTTCCCTGTGGCCTTTTGATGGTTTAAATTTTTATTATGCTTTCTGGCTTTTGTTTCATTTAGTTTCTGTGTTACCTAGAGAACGAAATTGTCCAAAGCATTTAGGAAAGAGCAGAAAAATAGCAAGTTATATAAAATTAATAATAACAATTGAATAAAGACAAACTAGCATTTTTAAATAAATGAAAGCCAAGTGTCTTGTATCTAAACATGATGCAGCCACTTCTTCTCTAGTCCAGGGCTAATTTATTATTCTAGAGGTGCTTCACCTCTCCAGTGCTTTGATTGTAGAGTTCAGTGCTTTATTGCTCTTGAATTGCAATTGTTAAAAGTAAAAAAGAAATGTTCGGTACTTAATAAGTGACCAAATCACCTGCATTTAATTATTTTCATTCAATTGTTATTCTTAAATTAAACCCTTTACAGTTTAGAATGCTTTACATTTGTTAGAATGCAATAGAGTGCATTCTATTAAAGGCCAACAGAAGGCATGGCATTAAAATGGTTGTTGGTATCTCTGTTATGATATCATAATCATAAGACCATAGCATAATGAGATGTAGTTCACGTATTCTTGAGAAGCAACAAGAGGCTTGGGTTTTATAGATATCCATTCCTTCTCTAGTGTAGTAGTTCTACCAGAAGATAATGACCAAGGACATTATAAAAACAATACTCAGAAAAGTCAAATCACTTGAATTTTGAAAGACAGTTCAAATGTATATAGATGATGCAGGGACACTTACGTCTATTATATTGTGAATTGTGGATTATAAATGGACTTTTAGCAAGGAGAAAAAAGCAAAAAAAAAACAGGGAAAGGAAAGGGGGGCAAAAGAACAAACTCTCTATGTTGGATTGACAAAAAAGCTGCTAGCAGGAAGATTTTAAATCTCAAGTTGTGCTGTTTGTATTTGTGATACAACTATATTCAGCAGCTACCAATATTTTAAATTTAAAAATTAACATTTTTGAGAAATGGGCAGCCTGGGAATTTCTCATCAGTAAACAACATCATGTGGATTATTTGGACAAAATGGACAAAATCCTTTTGTCAGGATTTTTAGTATTTTTAGATGATTTCTGGCAGGCATGAGGTGATGGTTGTTCATCCAGCCTAGCTCTCCCTGATCTCTCAGCAAACTTTGATACCATCAATCATGTTATGTTTTCTGAATAGGCTCTGGGAATTGGAGTAGGTGGCATTATATTGTGCTGGTTGTCTTTTTTTCTCTCTGGGGTTGATACCAGTCGGGGGGAGATCCTACCTTTGATCTCTACTCTGTGGGGGGCTGAGGATATGGTTCTCTCTCTTTAATAGACGAAGCATTTGGATAAGCTCATCCATCACTATAGGGTGAGGCATCATTTGTGTCACCCAGTTTTTATATATCTGCCCTTGGTGAATTAAGTGATGCTGTTGATGTTTTATCCTGATGACTCACGGTTGTGGGGATCTGGATGAGGAACAATAGGTTTCAACTGAATCCTGGCAGGACTGAATGGCTCTGGGTTTTTGGCCCTCCCAATTTTGGGACTCTGCCATCTTTGATACTGAATGGGATTGCACTGCTCCAAACAAACCTAATGTGCATCTTGTGGGTCTTCTTACGCTCATGAATCCCTTTCAGAGAACAGGTGACCATCATGACGATGAAGGCCTTTGAACAGCTTTGTGTTATGCACCAATTGTGCCCATTGCTGAATTAGGAAGCTCTGCTCATGATAATTCATGGACTACTGTAATGTCCTCTAGATGGAGCTGCCTTTGAAGAATATTGAAAAGCTTCAGATGATACAAGATGTGGTAGTACAGGCAGTTATGTATGCTACAGAGCAGCACACGTTACACCTCTGTTTTGGAATTTGCAGTGATTTCCAGTTTGATTATTGGTCCAATTCAAGGTGCTGTTTTTAACCATTAAAGCCCTTTATGGCAGGAGACTGGATTATTTAAGACACTATCTCTTTGTGATTACATCTGCTTGTTCCATGATGGCTGGCAGAAAAAGTATGTTATGCATTCCTTCCTGGGAACTTTGCTGATACAAAACATGAAGCCCAGGTAGGTATATATTCCAAATAGTGAACGTTCCTCAGGCCCCAGGGCATATGTACACAAGGTCAGCACTCATACATTATTAGATAATGGCCATATTTACTGCATACCAACTTTGCATTCAGAAGAAGCAGCCAGAGTCTAGGACCACCAAGGATCCATCAAACTAGTCCTGATGGTAAATAGTGAGAGCAAGATGTTGGGATTTTTATCTCCAAGGATATTCCTGGCATCTGTGAATGCAGGCCATCCTCATGTTTCCTATCATAGCCACTCCTGCTTATCAGTGTACGGATAATGCCTCCAGTCCTCATGTATCTCCTCCCCTGGGATCTCTGCCTGAGGCCAACCCATCTTTATCTCCAATCCTATTTACAAGCAATCACCCCAAATAAATCAAATAATGAATATCCAACTTTCACCACCACTCCTGTGTTCAAGGCTAGATAGACATCAAACATGAAGTTAACACTGTTCAGTTTTCTTATTAACAGCTAGTAGTTTCCCCCTTAAAACAGGAATTTGAAAGCTGTCAGAAATACATACTATGAATTAGTCCTTTATCCAGGTAATGAATACATAACTTTCAGTCAATAATCAAAATATGACATCTAGTATTGTGAGCACTGGAAATTGTGTACATATCATTCCAGTGAGTTGTTTCAAGTGCCAATAGCCAGCTATTTAGTATCTGAGAGAAATTCATTATAAAATAATTCAGATTAATTTAATATATTGGTCTAGAACTAGTCTACAAGTTTGGCTATATTTTAATCCATTCCAAATTAGTTCCCATGTTAAATACAAATTCAATTAAATATCTCATTAAATATGATGAATATTAGAATACAATATCCTTTAAAAATAAAGACATTCTGAATTGCTCATTCAGAATGGAGTTATCAAATGATTAATGAAATCTTTTATGATGGCTATTGATTCATCCAATAAGTCAAATTAAAATGAAGTGAAAGCTGCATTTATCTTGAACAAAATACAACTATATGGTTCATTGTGATGTTTGGTATTTTAAATATTCATTGCAGAAAATATTTTCAGCTTTACTTACAAGAATTTCTTGGAATAAGAATTAAGACATTAATGTTGCCTAACCAACCAAAGGATATTTTCTTCCGTTACCAAATTTCAGTACAATGATTCACAACAGGCTTCATTTATCTTGATACTCTACTCCAGAATGTGGTTTTATGCCAAACTATACAACATTAAAACAATTTCAAGAAGAATATCCATGTTATATTCTTCTGAAAATTATTTAAATGTTACATAGTTTGGCATAAAACCACATTTTGGGATAGAGTATCAAGATAAATAAAGCCTGTTGTGAATCACTGTACTGAAATATGGTAACAAAAGAAAATATCCTTTGGTTGGTTATGGAACATGAAGTTCTTTCAATAGAAAAACAACGAAAACATTACAGCATTTAAAAGGCAAGCAGCACAGGAATCCGTTGCTAAACACAATGTTAAAGTCGTGATGACACTTGTTGTAATCCAGTTCTATGCTTTTCTACTTCCATTGTGACTTTATTGACATTATAGACAAAAGTGGGAGTTCATTACTTGACAGTATCCAGTTTATGATGCTTAACGCATTTTTAACACAATTGTTGGTTTCTTTTCGATGAAGTTTTGTAGTTATTCCAAGTTACATTCGCTTTTGTATTCCTTCACTTTTTTATTTATGTTTAGCCTAGTCCAATTCCAATACTGTTGTGTTTTTGAATTTTAGATATGTGTTTTAGGGAACTATGCAGAATGTATGGTTTTTATATGATTTTTAAACCTAAGTGAAATTAGGTTTGTGTCCTCATTTTAACAATACTACTTCTTGCCAGTTCATGATGCCTTCTCATTCTCAGTATTTTGTTCAGTTTCTTGTTTGTGAGACTTGGAACAGATATTCTCATTCCATTTTTTAAAATTTTGTTTTCACTTTTTGCATTTTTAAATTTAGGTTTAATTATGGAGAGGAGGTTGCATTATTTTTTTCTTTTAGTACAAGAATCAAGCAGCACTTAGTCTGTCATCATGAATTTGTATGCAACATAGAATTCCACTTTGGTAGACTATATCCATTTTTTTTTACCATTCATTTAATGCTGTCTTGTGTAGCTATCCTTAACTGATTTACATTATTTCTTTTATAAGCTGGATACTCATTCCTGATCTGCTCTTGAGTTGCCACCCATGTCTCTCTATGAATTTTCTTTGTACATAATTCTCACTGGTTTAAATTATTTCATTTGTATTGTATCTGTATTCTATTCATCCCTATTATCCTGTATGTTTAATGTATTGTAACTATGCTTTTTATATATATTTCTGTCTTCTGACGCAGATTCACTATATCCCTCAACATATATTTGGATTCAGTTTTAATAAAGTTTTCTTTGTATCAAATTTTCTCATTTTCCTTCTTTTGATCGTGATATACAAGTATTGCCAAGGATTTAAATAATTAATGCTTTATTTTTTCAGGAAATTGCTTTAAAAGCTGGATGCAGTACAATGGACATAGGAGATAAAACAACACTATTGCTACAGGGATGGCACA